TTATTTCTAACCACAAACATGAATTCATGTTTGTAATAATGTCTAAATTCAATTTGTGAATAAAGCAATGAGGATATAAAAATGTGGATATAAAAATGAATAATCCACTCTATAAGATGGAAATTCCATTTTAGAAGATCTAATGCAAGAACCTGTACATCTGTATTTGTCTAAAGCCCACACAAGTACACACACACACACACACACACACGCACACACACAGAGCCCAGAGCAAGTTCAACTGATCTAACCACTCCATGACTGAGATTCTCAAAGTTTAGTATGTATATTAGTTACTTGTAGAATTTATTAAAATAAAGACTGATTCTGATTCAGGAGTCTGAGTGGGTCTCAGAGATTCTGCATTTTTAGCAAACTCCCGGAGATGCTAATATTGATGCTGCTGGTTCAATGCTCTTGATCAGACGATTAGCACATCTTTGAAAGCTTTCAGAAATGAACATTTCACAATTTTTCTCACACTTCTCTCAGAAATTATCAATAAAATGTTCTTCAGGATGGTTAGCTAATTTAAGAGTAATTTCTATTCTACTCCTTTTTCACTATAAGAAATGGTTAGCTAATTTAAGAGTAATTTCTATTCAATTCCTTTTTCACTATAAGAATTTTTTTTTTTACTATTAAAAAGCATCAGGGCAAGTGATAATGTGTAAAGGCTACCATATTCAGGAAGGAACCTGGAAGTTCAAGTTATGTTTGCTTTCAGTCCATTAAACTGGGTCAATTCTCTCAAATTATGATTGATCTATTTATGCCCAGATTTTCTCATGGAGTTTACAATTCCATAGAATATCTCACATAATAGTAAGACAACTTCCTCTTCCTCCTCTTGTTCCTCCTCCTCTTCCTCTCCTTCTTCTCAGTTTATTGACTTCTTCTGAGAGAGAGAGGGTGGTAACTCCAGTGTGACCTTTAGGTCATGATCTACTCCAGCCTCTGTCAGCCCAGCAAGTCTAAGGAGGCCCTGAGACACAAACCTGGGACCTTCCTATGTGCATCCATCCAGTCAGTTCCCACTGCACACAATCTGGCTCCGTGGTCAGGCTTTTGTATTTCTTGATAGCCAACCCTGTGAATACAAAGGTTCTTACCTTCAAATAATTCTAGAGAAACAACCAAAATTAAATGAGGAAACTTCTTTTATTTTTTTTTTATTTTTAAAGATAAATTTGGAAGCAATCCCAGAGTATGCATTGGCCCCTTTAATTTAGGCTTCAACTGGAAAAGATGTAGAGAAGAAAAACTTCACTTATTTCTAATGTAGGGGGTTATTACTTTCTTCCAGGAAAATATCTAGTTTTCCGTCCTCTTTGCCCATGTCAGGTAAAAGCCTTTACAGCACCAGCTCTGGACTCAGTTTAGGTGGATTCAGGTTCTAGTTACACAATTGCAGCTATTTTGGTAAATCTGACAGTGATTACGATTATAATGGAGCTATCATTAAGGCTATATAGCAGACACTGTGATAAGCAGCTAACACGTCTTAACCTCACACAAGAATATGATATAACTACTAGTATTGACTCTCTTTCTTATCATATTGTTATTGAGTCGTACATATTTCTGGGCACAGTGTATCTGATCATTGTAATCAATGTATCTGATTCTTAGGCATGTATTCAGTGAGCAATGATCAGATTGGGATACTAAATATATCTACCATTACAAACACTTAGTACTCTGAAGCTTATGAATATCCAAAATCTTCTCTGCCAGCTCTTCTGAAATATATTGGGTCGTCAGAAAAGTCATGATGCATCTTTGAGTAGAAAAATAGTCATGGCTTTTCTGACGATCAAGAACTTAGAATTCTCACCAGGATAGTCGCTCGACTGTGCTCTAGAACTCTGGAACTCATTGCCTGCATCTACTTGCTACTCATATCTGTTAGCCAAGCTCTCTCCGTCCCCTCCCTCCTGACCCTCCTTTTCTTCCCAACTTCTGGTATCCATCAAGTTACTCTCTACTTCTGTGTAATTGAATCTTTGTTTCCACTAGTGAACAAGAATATATGGTATTTGTCTTTCAGTATCTCACTCATTTCCCTTAGCCTTATCTTCATTAATATGAGAACGTTGAATCTTAGCCAGGTTAACAATTTGTCCAGAGGAAAGACTTGAATCCAGAAAGTTGACCTAGTACTTCCTAAATCTCCAGTACCTTCTCTTAAGTTCTCTGTTTAATAGCAAAACAGAATGTCCAAGAGTTTGAAAAAAAATGTCACTGGTACTTTTATATGAAATAATCAATTAGACTGTGTTTTGGGAACCAATAGGTGATGATGTTGAGAGACTTATTGGTGCAATTTTGGAAAGCAGCACTCCTTCTTAGCAAACATCTTTCATTTTATCACTTAGTCTCTTTTCCTTGCTAGTCTGTCAGGTAATAGTAATAACAGTAATAAAGTATTATTACTCTCAGATTATTTATTTATTTATTGGTATGAGGAGATGCTATAAACAAGCAAGCTAAATGATCTAATACATCTGCCCTATCCCTTGAGGAAAATTGAATAAGGTTCATATGTTCCTCAGACTTGAGGGAAGGAAGGAAAGAGATTTTTTGTGTGTGTGAAAAAGCACTTTGGCAAAAGTGATTTAAGTGGTAATAGATTCCATTGTGATGACATTTGAAAAACCAATTATAGTCTTTTTCAGTAAGTTTTTGGAGATACTTGAAATTTTCTTTGCCAGAAAGCTTTATTTTTATTATTATTATCTTGGATTGCTAAGATTTGGTTATAAGATTAGAGTTCTATTCGGCAGAGTTGAGCTGTGCTTTAGAGAACTGGTGAGATGAGGCCTCGCAGAGAGCTCTGTGCCTGCACTGAGGCCTTCTCTGAGAACTGGCTGAACCATTGCTCAGTCTATTTTTTTAATCCCACAATGAACATGTTGTTTTAAATTAATGCTTGTTCACTGTCTTTATGCTCACTGAAGTGCTAGGTATAAGACACTGGCTGTTATGGTTTTCTGGGTGTGTTTTAATAGTGTTTCCTATTCATAAAGCTTTTAAGTTATAAAAAGAGAAGGCTATCATACATACTTCCATATGAAATTCATTCATGCCAGTGATTACTCTTAAAGTTCATCTTCCATTCTTTTATTAAAACCAGATTAATCACTTAAACACCTTTCCCCTGCAATATTTAGTAATCTATCTATACACACACACATGCACATTCACACACATATCTAAACAGCTTACATATATTTAAGCTAACTAGCTATCTCAGTATATTCTAGCTACGTTGTGTAGCTACATTATATGTATTTATATATTTATACCCATTGATGCTTATGGACTTCAAAAAGCTCATGGAAAGTAGAATTAAAAGATGAATTTATTTTGGCACAAAAAGTTTTGAAATCTATGGATAGCTTTTTTTAAAATACACATTGTCCATGAACTCTTTGAAGAACTCACCACTTCCTACATATATGGTAGTATGGGCATATGTGTGTATGCTGACTGTATGTTTTATATATATAACTGCAATGTTATATTTATATATATGTAATTATGACAGCATCATTGAAGAAAGGTGATATATTTGGTTTGAGAATATAAATATATTCAGCCTAATGTGGGAATGATTTAGTATCTGACAAAATCCTTTCTATACCATATGTTTAGGCAAATAAACTGAAGATAAGACCAAAGTGAGAAACTTTATATTTTAATTTTATCCTAAACCACAGTAATAACCAAAATATGCTCTGCATTGATAAAAATAAAACTGGTATTTTTTTACTAGGATTTCTATTATCCCTAGATCTGGGAGACATGGTCATCTTGTGTGGGGGACATCAGGACATTGGAACTTAGGACAGGAGAATTAGTACATTATAGAAATTCTGATCTTCTTCCAAAGGCACCCTTAGCTTTGAGCCCACTGTGTGTGTTTGTGTATGTGAAGGGGGTGGTTCTGACAAGTTTGGGCATATGAGATGGAGTCTCAGGATATTGTGTGGCCCTTTGATCAGCCAAATGGGTAATTTCATTTCTATGATTATAGCACATTAGCCATTAGTAAGAGTTTCCAGCTTAGAAGCCTTTCCTACAACAAAGAGTGGTTTAAAGTCTGCAACTACATTTTTCTTCATAGTACCAGCTTCTTAACAACCAAAGATAAATGAACCGCCCTTGCCTTCAGTGCAAGTAAGGGGGAAAAATACACACGCACACACCCTGGGGGAAGCAAAAGCAGCAAGACGGCTCTCTCCTCAGTAATTCAGAGAGAGGGGAGAGGCACGTCTGGCAGTTTGTGGGAGTGAATCTAATTATCAGTCTCTTACGTTCATTAATAGGTTGGAGCAAGTTAACTTCTCAAAGGAGGAAGAAGTAGACATTATGCTTAAATGCTTAGACTACATTATGATCATTTATGCATCACTTTCACAAAAATAGTTCTTTTATAAGTCCTTCACAAGGCTGGGCAGGTAGGCAGGGAGAACATCAAATACAGGAAATGAAAAAAATAACTGGTAAAATATGATGTATTTATAGACGGGAGAGCAGAGGATTCTCAAAGGCTGCAGAGTACATTTTAATAAATTTTTATTTCCAGCCATGTGATTTTTATCAGACTGTCAGGTGAGAATTTATACTGTTTTATACATTCCTGTAATCCTGCTTCATTTCTCCTTTTCTGCCAGCGGGTCTCTGGACAGAAAGCAATCTGAGTGTAATCTAGTTGTGCATGTGTGTGTGTGTGTACATGCGTGTATGTATTTATTTCCTGAGAGGGAGAAACACACAGAGAGAAAAAGCACTCTCAACGAGATCTCATGCCTTGATCCTCTTCCTCCTAGCCACTCACAACCATGGGAAGCAATGCCCAACAAGTGAAGGTCAACCAGGAGCCAAACTTGTAATCTTCCATATGGATCCAGCTTCCCTTGAGTCTTATGTTACCACTGTGACCACCAAACTGACCCTAAATCAATATTTCTTGACCAATATTTTTGTTCTCTTAGCTTCACTAGCCAGAAATCGGATGATGACTATGAAGATTATACTTCAAACAAAACATGGGTCTTAACACCAAAAGTTCCTGAGGGTGATGTCACTGTTATCTTAAACAACCTGTTGGAGGGGTATGACAATAAACTTCGACCTGACATAGGAGGTATGTTAAAGCGTTTCGTAGTGTGCTTTAGTTAACACATAGACATGTCTATCCTATTAGAGGGAAACATCAGCATATTTTAAGGGCCAGAAATATTTCAATGATAATTTTATTATATGTTATACAAATAAATATAAAACATAAAAATAGCATTCGGTTCTGGGGGCAAGAGATGTTGCAATACGTTTAAAATAAGGAAATATGATTTTCAAGTAAAGCTTGAGAGCTAGAAATTCAAATCTGTCTTTATAGACTAGACAGAGGTTATAGAACTGTATTTACAACCCATTTAAGAAATAATATAAAAAAACTCAAACAAGATAATAATAATATATGGTAAAGACAGAATATATTGATCATTTATTGCTGAGTAACAAGTAACCACAAAATCTCTGTGGCATAAAATAATAAGCATTTATTCAACAGGTCACCAGTGGGTGGGCTAATCTAGTCCAAGCCAAGCTGAGGCTGCTCCTCTAGGGCAGCTGTGCTGAGTGAGTTTCCCTCTACCTGTGGGACTAAGAAAATAGATAGGAGAGGGAACCAGCAGTTAGCGTAAGGCTATGTCGCGGGACTCCCACGTAGTCGACCGCAGTTTGTGTCCCGGACCCGGTGGCTTAAAACTCACGCTGGGTGTGTGTGCGTGCGTGCCCAAGATCCCGAGAGGAGAATGGAGGAGAAGGGATTGCGGCGTGACCATCCCCCCTGGGGGGTGATTTCTCGCTTTCTGTCTCTATGTCTCTCTCTGTCTGTCTGGCGAGCGCACGCGCCCTACAGTGAAAACCTCTCCAAAAAAAAAAAAAAAAAGAGAATAGATAGGAGAATCCTTCTCTACCCATGGAACTAGTAGACTAGATAGGGGTCCTTCTCATGACAATAGAAAAGAGCAACTGAGGAAGTAAAAGCCCATAAGGTTTGATGCTTAGGTTTAGAACTCATTTTTATCTCTATATTATTAGCCAAAGCAAGTCAGATGGCCAAGCTCCAAGTTCAGAGAGAGCAGAGTAGCCTTTCTGAGGTAAAAGAAGGAATGTGAGTGTGAATAATAATGAAGAATTCAATTCACCACAAAGTATTAGGGCATGGACCTTTCAAGGAAAATTGATAAAGATGAGAAAAATGTATTTGTCGAATGGAAGCCTAGAATGATATTATGATCATTTGTTCATTGTTAAATGAAAATGAAGCACATGCATGTAGTTCTACAGATGTTTGATATTAGCCTTTTCTGACACATAGCTGAGCCATGGGTTTCCATAGAGTTTCCTCGTACTGTCTGATGGAAATACAGCAGCCAAGTCACTAAGGAAGATAGATTTTGTGTTGATTAGAGATGTGAGAGGATAAAGTGGCCAGCAAAAAATCAGTGGGTAGCACTGTTTCAAAAGCAATTCATATCACTGTGGGTCTTTGTGTGGACTTTCTGTTTCTAATGCCTATTTTTTTCTTGAGTCACTAAGTAATTATTTTTCTATATGGGTCAAGTCAAATTGCAATGCCCAAATAGATGCCAGAACTTGAAAAATGGCAAAATTTAAGATAATCTCAGAGAAGGAAGAATGAAGCCAACTAAGAGAAGTACTTTCTGGCACCTTCGTTTTTTGCAGTTTTAGAAGAGTAATCAGTTTCAAAACACTGCTGTGCTTGTTTTTTTCATTTACATGCTTCTAGGGAGATACTTCTTTGAATGCAAAATAGTTATTCAAATGTAGTGAATTACTAACTGATGCCAAATTAAATGTGAATAAATAACTTCTAATTTAACTAAGTAAATCTGTTCTAGAAAACAAAGACGACCACGTTACAGTTTTGTACCTCTCCACATGCACGTATCTCTTGGGTTCTCTTTACAGTGAAACCAACATTAATTCATACAGACATGTATGTGAATAGCATTGGTCCAGTTAATGCCATCAATATGGTGAGTTTTATAATAATTTTTTTTATTAACATGTTTGAGAGGAAATGTGACACATGGGAATAGAAAGAAACGTGTAATAAAAGTTGATTCAAGGCATTGGAAGAAAAAGTTAGTCCTTTAGGTTTTTTTCTTTCTTAAAATATGAAGATAATTAAATTTTGGCAATTTTTTATGCTATTATATGTGATCATTTACATGCATAATATATATATGTATATATATTTAATTAATTTGTGTAACTATGGTACACTATTAAAACTCTGTAATCATTGGATACTTGCCAAGTGCCACTTTCTACAATATAAAGAACCATAGTCTACTAATGTCTAGAGTATTGACAGTGTTGAAGTAACATAGTTCACTTTAAATAAGAAATAGTGAATCAGATGTAGTAATAACTTTGTTCTTGTATAACACTTTCTATCAAATCTGAGATGGGAGATTAAGCTACAGTCCATATTAGACATGATAGAGTAGAATGGAGTACAATATAACATTATATAATATTAGCACACAGTAATATAATACAGTATCATGGAAAGTGTTTACCAGGCTAGCAATCAATAAAGATACTACATTAATTCAGAGAAAGAATGATAAGAAACTAATTAGTCTCAAATGGGGTGATGAGATAGTATATCTACCTGTATACTCCCTGAAAATCAGTTAGATTCTTAACTATTAAAAACATTCTGAGTATTACTTCTTTACACTAAAATTCTCTGAACCATGAGTATTCTGTTGTAAATTATGACTAACAAGAAGAAGGCATGGTGGTGTATTTACACTTTGAACTCTTTTGTGTTAGGAATAATTGTCCCAAGATCACTATTCGTGAAATTTCAGTGTTAAGAATCAAAGCTTTTCGTCTGGGGGTTTTTGGCCACCACATAGATCCACAGTTATTTTATTACTCTAACTACTGCAACATCACTAATTAGTTGAAAAGGATTTAATAAAATAGGTTCCCTCTCATTAGCTGTAGACTTCAAATATGGAACTAAATGAACAAACATGGTATGTCTTATTCAGTGGAAATGGAGTCGATTACGATGAGACACATTGGCAGGAGGTGCAGGGGAATGACAGAACAATGGGAATGAGGAGAAAGGGGAATACTCTAGACTGATCCTGAAAAGCTGTATATTCATGAGAAAATTGATAATCACCCTGGTTCTGTATGTAGTCAACATAAAATGGTGATAGTGCTAGGAAATTGGGACAATGTGGAAGTGGATGTTTCTCCCATCCCTGATCTCAAATTCTAAGAACACTGACTTTTTTGGTTAATTTTTCCATTTAAAAACATGATTAAAATCAAGTTATAAAGGAACCAGTAGACAGTGTAATGGTTACATCGCTGCACTCTCACTTAGTCAACCAAGGTTCGAGTCCCAGACCCATAGCTTGAAACTGACGCTGGGTGCATGTGTGCCTGCCCATGATCCCAAGAGGAGAATGGAAGAAGAGGGATTGTGGTGTGGCCATCCCCCTAGAGGGGAGGCAAATTTCTCACTTTCTTTTCTCTGTGAGCACACATGACATACAGTGAAAATATCTTTTTCTAAAAAAAAAAAAGAGATATAAAAAAATGAAATATATAACTAGGAATAGTTCATTGGAATGATGTTCATACCAAATAATTTAAACTGTTTTTATTGTAATTGTTTATTATATATTTTTTATAATGTGATTTATTAAATGAGATGATACATGAAAATGTTTAGCCAGAGGACTAGCACACAATTTATAACTGATGAATAATAACATCTACAAGAATAAAATGGTAGTATCCTTTTTTATTAACAACTGGGATGACAATGATGGTGATGAATGGAATTGAGAAGTAATGAATCTTGGTGTGAACAGAGTTGGGAGTGACCTAAGTAATTGGATTAATGGGTTATTTGTGAAGATGAAAGTAATGAGGTCTAAAAGTAAGGGCATTTTCCCAGAGACTACCTCTAAATATGATAGCCGACGTCAGAGTCAGGTTTTCTGTGCATTCTTTTCTGTCCTCATACTACCTAACCAGTTAGGTTCTTCAGGATCCTCATTTTACCATGAGACAACTGAGATGAGGACTTTCTTGAGTTTTCTGGGTTCAGTTGTGCTCTGCAGTAGTGGTTCTGAACCTGGGCAGTTGTTTCCCCAGGAGACTTTTGGCAATGTCAGAAAGTTATTTTAGTTGCCACAGCCTGGTGAGAGGGGAAGTGAGGTGGAGGAGATGCTACTGGCATCTGGGGAGTAGAGGCCAGGGATGCTTTGAAATATCCTACAGTGCACGGGCCAGCCCTCCACAGCAAAGAATTAGCTAGCTCAAAATACCATGACCAGCTTGAGCCAGCCAAGTGGCATAGTGGTTAAGGTTGCTGGATCCCAAATGATTGCATGCATAATTCGAGTCCTGGACATGAGAGCTTGGAAAACATGCTGGGCACATGGGCATGTACGTCCAAAATCCAGAGAGGAGAGTGGAGAATAAATTGTATCACCCCTAGAAGGTAATTTTTCACTTTCCTTTTCTCTCTTTCTGTTTCTCTTCTGCAAGCACACATGTTCTATAGCAAACACCCACACACATAATATATATATATAT